GTGTGCGCGTGTGCACGCGAGGTCTGGCAGCCGCTGTGCGCGTGCAGGTCAGGCGTGGGTGCTGGTGAGCGCGCGTGCAAGCGGGCGTGTGTTGGGGGTGTGTGCGCAGGACAGCCGTTCGCAGTGGTTTAGGCTGGAAGGAAAACACGCTGCAGAGGCTGCGCCCGTGGCCCGTGGCAGAGCGATGAGGTTATGACAGCCCAGTGCGGGGAGCACATCCCTGATGGTGATTGTGTTTCCTTCCCACAGATTGTCTCCAAGGGAAAATGGTGGAAAATTCACCGTCGCCGTTGCCAGAAAGAGCGATTTATGGCTTTGTTCTTTTCTTAAGCTCCCAATTTGGCTTCAGTAAGTACTTTCCCGATGGATGGCCACGGCCTTGCTCTGGTGTTCAAGGTCAAGGAAATGACTGCCTTTGTTATTAGAGTGCGCACACGAACTGTGGTTCTTCCTACCTGTGCCTCTTTTTAAGAAAACCTGAAGGGGACTCATGTGGGTTCAGAGGGTTCTGTGAGCCAGGTAGTAGCCTGAAAGGTTTAATCTCAAACGCTGTTCATACGGCACCAGGGAGGATTGCCCAGTGGATAGAACCTGGGGCCTGTGGGCATGGTCTGGTGGACAAGACAAGTAAATCTACACTTAACACTCAGCGTGGTACGTGCCATGGGATCCCAGGGAGAGTCATGGAACAGACTAGGAAATCAGTTCGCCTTCTTCCCAGCCATAAGGAGGAGGGAAGTGGGAAGGCTGAGGCTGCGGCCGTGGCTGAGGCTGTGGCCGTGGCTCCTGTGCTGCTGTGGCAGCTGGGGAGTGAAGGGAATGAATGAGGCTGGAGGAGTCAGGTGCGTTTCTATCCTGGGTCTCCCTCCATCCCTGTGAGATCCCATTGCACAGGTGAGAGAAACTAGTGCTCACAGAGCCACACACCAGGCCCCACATCTCTCCCCAGAAGGAGTTGAGAATTACGAGGGGACAAGAGGGAGAGAATTGGGGGTACTCATAATCCAACTTTTTGGAATTTTGTGGGCACGAGGAAGGTGGGGGGTGTGAACCTTAACTGCATCAGCCAAGCTGCTGGGTGGAGAAGTCGATGGTGTGAAGTTGTAACGGGTCCAAAGCTTTGCTCTTCCGCGGATTAGCTGTGTGGCCTGAGACCATTTCCTTCACTTCTTTGAGACTTCGGGTTCTTCAGGTGTAAAAAAATGGAGACTGTTTATTCTGTGCTTATCATTCCCAAGACAGTCCTGTGGGGTGGATGTTATCACCCTCATTCTACGGATGAGAACACTGAGACACACAGTCCGTAAAAAACAGAGCCCGAGCCCCACCTGGCGTGGCTCAGTGGATAGAGCGTTGGACTGAAGACTGAAGGGTCCCAGGTTCGATTCCAGTCAAGGGCATATGCCCGGGCTGCGGGCTCAGGAGACAGCCGGTCAATGATTCTTATCACTGATGTTTCTATCTCTCTCTCCCTCTCCCTTCCTCTCTGAATCAATAAAAAACATATATTAAAAAAAAAAATAGAGCTAGAATGTGAACCCAGACACCGGGTGGACTTCACTTTGCTGCCTCTCATGGCCTGTTGGAGCCCCTCTTGTCAGAGAATCTGTGCTCCCACCGGGAATCGAACCATGACCTTCTGGTTCATAGGTCAACGCTCCACCACTGAGCCACGCCAGCTGGGCTCCTGTCACTTTTTTACCACAATAAAAAGATATAAGGTAATTGTGATAACAAGAGTGATGCAAATAAGGAGCTAGGAGAACGGAAAGGAGGGAACACTCACTTCTGAGTGGATCAGAGAGAC